GCCCATGGGATGCTTTTAACCTGTTTTCCCAGCTCAGGCCTGCACTCTCCCTGCCTCCAGGGCCCCCACGACAGATGCTACCATGAGCATCGTCATGCTTCAAGCCAACTCCAGTGGACGTACACTGCCTGGTTCTTACTGCAGGGGCAGAAGAGTACTGTGCTTTGTTTTACTCCTTGACCTACTGAAGGTAAAGAGCAGGGAAGCCCTAAATCCTGTGGCTCCAGTGCTTGGTATACTGGGTCAGGTGTCCAAAAAAGAATCTGAGTTCTCCTCACAGCATCTCTGGGACCATCTGGGGCCCAACCAATGTAAACATTGACTCTAGATACAGATACCAACCCTGTGCAGGACAGATGTCGAGGCTTGATATTGTTTGCAGATACACCCTGTTCTCTTCCTTCTTAACCCTTCTACCCTAACATGATTTGCAGCTGGACATGTGAATGAGGCAAGGCTTTTCTTGCCACTGGTTGACCACTTCTCCTGGGCCAGAGTGTGATATTTTTAGAACCCACACAGCAAGCAGTAAACACATCAGGAGATGCTAAGTAGCCAAGGTTATCTTTGCACCAAAGGCTTCTTAGCAACACCCCTGGTTCCGTCCCTGTCTCTCTATTCCTGCTCTTCTACAGGAGGGGATTGAGACTGGCCATCCTGGTACTCACCAGGCAGGACAGTGGTTGGGGGAGGAAGTGAGAAGTGGCTGAGGGACAGGAAAAGTGGTGCGTGGGGGAGAGGCAGGCAAGCCAGTTCTCTAAGGGAGTAGGAGACAATGTGCAAACTCATTGGTCTGGGTTTGTGCAGTACAGCAAGAAGCCTGGAAAAGGTGTAGATGTCAAGTGAGCTGAAAGCCTGGGAAGGAGGTGGAACCATCCCACTGCAAACCCACGGGCTCTGAGACTGAGGCGTAGACAGGCAAAAAGGGCCCTATACGAGAGAACTCTGGGAACCTGTCAGCTCAAGCTTCCAATGATAGCTCACTGCCTTCATTTGTGTGTGGTGACACTGACAGACTCATTGGGTCTCCTGGCAGAGGTTGAAAACAAGGGAAGATGAGACCTGTACTTCAGACCCTGGATATTTTTAAGAGATGATTTTCCTGGATGTCCGATTTTTTAGTTTACTAGGAAAAGGACTAGAATCTGGGTAACAAGGCAAATTACAATGTCAGATTCATTTTTTTCCTCTCTGTCCCTCCCAGCAAAAGCATAACAGGCCCAGTTCAAATAGCACCACCTTCCCCCTGAAGAATAATCTCCAGTTGGAATTAATTATCCTCTTTCTATTATCTCACAGCAAATCACCATTACTTATATTATAAGGTAGCATGCATTTCATTCTGCTTTCTATTAGAATTTATGATTGCCATTTTTGTCTCTTTTTAATCCGAGTTTCTCGCTGCCAGAGACTATGTATGGGTGTTATCTGGCATTTGCTAGGTACTCAATAGATTCTGGCTGACTAAAATTAAAATCAAGTGCAAATGACTAAAGTATGGAACCTGAATGAGCAGCTGGAATGCTGGAGGCCCCAGGCACAGGCGGTGCGGGAAAGGTAAAATCAGCAGCGTAGGGAATGATGCACAAGGTGGAACAAGACCCAGCTTGTCCCAGTAGCCCCTGAGCAGAGCAGCCCTGCCAGGCCAGTACTTGGGAGAAGAATCAGTAGGGTTCTGCTCTAATCATACCACGAGAGCATACAGAAGGGTCATGTCCATTTCTTTAACAGTATTTACAACTAGGAACTGTGTACCTGGCAGATAAGCTCTTTGTTATTCACTCTGGCAAAGCCAAGTAAACAAATGCCTTGTAGAGGCTTTTTGGAAAAGTAATCTCATGAAATATTTGATTTATGAGGACTCAAGTCTGCTGCCAGCTACCACTGACCATTCTCCTTCTGATGTAGGCAAATAAACAGCACATCCCTCAACAAGGCTCTTGGTACCTGTTGGCTATAGGCCTTGTGGCTTGGGCAAACCTTATCCTAACACTTCTGATTATTCTTGACAGGCTGGGAAGAAGGCAGGTTGTCTCCCCCATTTTACAGGCAGTAAAAGGACGCTGAGAGATCTAGAGCCACAGATTCGAGGTGGTGGCCCACAAGACATATTTTGCCCAAAGACATATTTTGTTTTGCCCACAAAGAACTTTTTAAAAAATGTAAGATTCGTCTGCCATGCAATTTACCCATTTAAAGTGTATAATCCAATGGTTTTAGGTATATTCAGGGTTGTGTAACAATTACCATAACCTGATCTGTGAACTTTTTCATTACTCAGAAAGAAACCCAGTGCCCATTAGTAGTCACTCCTTTTTCCTCCTCCCAACTCTTCCAGCCCTAGGCAACCATTAATTTACTTTCTGTCTCTGTAGACCACAAAGTACTCTTACATTGCCAACAGCTAAAAACTGAAGATTGTATGTAAAATTTAATATTTCTTATTTCTCTTGAAAAATCAAAAGATCTGGCAGCACTGGGCCTGCATTCCTGCATGGGGACAACTGGATGGAAATGAGTTGGCCCTTTGGTCAGGCCTGCTCAATTCAATGTACCTTCCGAATTTGCCACCCCAAAAGGTATCTTGTAGGCTACCTTCTCCCTCCTCTTTTTAATGTATTTCTATTCCTGTTTGGCCTCTGAAGGCATTCTCAGCAATTAATTAATGATGTTTCCTCTTCCATGTGATAACTGGTTTCTTTCTTACCCTCAGAGTACTTAGCTTGGTGTGAAGCACATCCTCAGTTCACAAAATATATAATTGAACAGTGAAAATATCTTTATAAACCACTTTCTCTTCATCCTTTCTGCTAAGCTAGGGATGGATTCTTTTTTTTCTTTTTTTTTTTGAGACAGGGTTTTGCTCTGTCACCCGGGTAGTATACAGGGCGATCATAGCTCACTACAACCTCAAACTCCTGGATTCAAGCAATCTTCCTGCCTCAGCCTCTCAAGTAGCTGAGACTACAGGTGCACATCACCATGCCCAGCTAATTTTTTCTATTTTTAGTAGAGATGGGGTCTCGCTGTTGCCCAGGCTGGTCTCAAACTCCTGAGCTCAAGTGATCCTCCCATCTCAGCCTCCCAAAGTGCTGGGATTACAGGCCTGAGCCACTGCAACTGGCCGAGGGATGGATTCTTGCTGAAGTTGTATAATTGACAGCCTGAATGTCACACTGCAAATGACAGTGTTAGATAAGTACAGTGACTTCATTTCCTCAGTTAATTCTAGTGTCCCTAAAACAGACAAATCAGCATCAGCAGCATATTAAGAGCTAATGACAAATTGCCATTCTAACCACTTTTAAGTGTACAGTTCAGTAGCATTAAGTCCATTCACATTGTTGTACAGCCATCACCACTATCCATCTCCCGAACAGAAAGAAACGAGGGGACTGTGGAGAAAACTTCAATTATATATGTGATATTTAGTTCCTAAAAAAAAAAAAAAACCCAAAACACAAAACTGAGCAGGATGGTGGCCATGGAAGTAGGAATCCACTAAGAAGTAAAAAACAGGCCGGGTGCGGTAGCTCATGCCTGTAATCCTAGCACTCTGGGAGGCCGAGGAGGGCGGATTGTTTGAGCTCAGGAGTTTGAGACCAGCCTGAGCAAGAGCAAGACCCCGTCTCTACTAAAAATAGAAAGAAATTAGCTGGACAACTAAAAATATATATATATAAAAAAATTAGCCATATATCTAATATACGTTTTATATTACTATCTATGATACGTCTTTAGTTTTTAAAAATACCTATCGCTTTATTATTGTCATCGAAGTGCATGCACGTGCACATACACACTCCTATGCCTTCATTTTCCTCATGAAATTCTGATGAATTGGTTTTGTGCCAGAGTAGGATGAAAGGAATGGTCACAAGTGTCTTACGACCGGGAAAGGCTGTGAACCGATAATGGAACTCTACCCTCTTTTCCGTGTATTCTCTGTCCTCCTTTCTTTTAATTACACTCTCTTTAGCCCATAAATAAAACTGTAGCAATATGTTAATCTATGGAATTGTTAAATATGCTAGTGATTATTCTCATTATATAAAGTTGGCTCAAATATTTCAAATGAGATTTCTTATCTTTCATTTTGAAAAACAAAACCCTCTAAACATCAAACAGCAAGAAATCCCTGAGACCCCAAATCTAAAAATGTGGCAGATATTCAGCAAATCCCTAACGGGAAAATGACT